GTTTTTTTTTTTTTTAAATGAAATGAAACTACAGTGTCCTAGTCTTCTTTTCCCTGTGTACATGTCAACCTACCTGGCTCACACTGAATTGGTAAAAAGTTTTGGGTAATGGGAGTACAAATATGCAAATTAGTAATGGGCCCTGCAACATTGTTGCAACAAAGTATCTATGGTGTGCAAAGGGTTAAAGAGAAACTACAATCATGGCATATTTTATTTTGCTGTATGCGGGTTAGACGGAAAGCTGAAGCAAAATCTTGCCACTATGATAATAACCTCACCTCTGATTGGCCGTTTGTGGATTCATCATCATCATCTTGATTGTTTTGTGTCTCTGTTTCTTCTGAGTAATATATTTTATTTGAAGTTAAGACAAAGAAATGTGGTGCCCACTCCTATGAAAGGAAACAAACAGTTGCAAAGTTAAACATACTATTATTATTGAAACACACAGATAAAATGATATCATAGTCTCTAACAAGTAGATAACATACATATACAGGTCCACTGTTTGTGATAAATGCCTTATTAGCATTAACCTTTTCACCTCCAGTTTCCTCTTTTTACCACAATGTACAAAATAGTCCTGTTAATAGTCTGCCCTTTCCTTCCAAAGATTGAACAAAAATAGCTAAATATTTGAGTAAAACCTGAAAATTGACACAAATTTTGTCTGTTGGCTCCAAAATTAGGGTTCACATCCTGAAATATTTAAGAATACAAGAAAAAAGTGCAGCAAAATTTGGTCAAGGATGTCTGGTGGTGAAAAGATTAAGGCTTGAAATAACATTTTTAACCAAATATTGAGCAAGATGTGATGTTAGTATCAAAAGAACACACAGAAATAAAAACTTACAGCATCCATTGGGTCCTCTAAATATAAAAGTCCATTCTTGATTGAGTTACTCAGGTCATCAACAGTAGCTATTTCCATGGAAACAAACATATTCAATATATGTTAAACAATCTGAAGTTTTGTTGTTTAAATGTCAATGTTAAATGTTATGTTAAATGTCAAAAGTCAAAAGTCGTCTTTCTGTTCAAGGTTGAAAAGTCTTGTGAGATGTGTATAAACATAGAGAATACATTGTATGTCTTGTTTATTCCACCGCATTGAACCATCCATGACACATCAATTTGTTTATACATCTCAATCTAGCAGTAATTATTATATTAGTGTCGAAAAGGTTGCTTTATACTACACTATCAACGTATGATGTCAACATTTATATCAAATTTTTGTGTCACCGTGACAACATCTTCCACTAGCCTGGTCTCCAAAAAAGGTTTTGAATAATATCCTCTTGCTACAGAGATGAAGATGAAATGTGATCTACTCACTGTCGTAACTTGCTGACACTGAGAAGGTATCGCTTGCTCCTTCTGGTAGTTTCTTGTGCTTAAGAATCACTTTACGTTTCAGCTGATTAGGCGATGGAAGCATAGTAGCATCTCTGTCAATGGGTTGGGATAGTAGCATATCTAGGACAAACAAAAAATGATATTCTGTTAAGGATGTGTTCATTTTATCAAATATATGCATATATATCAAATATATAGATTCGGATCTAGAAACAAGAATGACTTTTTACACTAAATAATTGTTGAATCAATGATTTTGACATGACTGTTTCTCCTGATGCAGTTGTCATGAAAACCATTATCCATGTTTGTTGCACACCCACATTTTATAATCAATTATGGGAGGAATTTGACTGAGAAAATCTACTAATTAACCCAAAGCAACATGCTATTACAACAGCAACTGTGAATGATAAAACTCACCGCCAAATACTTCTTGGAATGCAGAGGCCATTTTTCTTTGTTGAGGTAAACTACAATGATTTTCTATGGAAAGAATGACTGGATATCTAGAGATGAGACAAAAACCATTTGAAGTCAAAACCCACATTCAAATGTAAACTATTGATAATTCTACATACAACTTCTCCACACATCTGTCCTTTAAACATTGTAAAATAAAATCAACTTTGTAATGATACACAAAATGCAGGCCAACTGATAAACATTTTTTATTTTAACAGGGGTTAATACAAGAATCTTATAAAACCAATAAGGAATTAATTAACCATTTTTTAAGACTACACCTTTCTAATAAATAGCGCCCTCCAGTGACGAAGTGCAGTCATAACTTAAAATAACTGAAATATAGAAAACACATAATGCAAACTATGGAAAAGAGTATACTTACTCAGAAGTTGCAAATGCATGTTCTTTGATTGTCTTGATGACGTCAATGAATTTAATTTTGGAAGTAAGTGTGTGCCCGTGAAATATAACCGGATAACCCTCTGGACCATCCCAGCAATCCACTAGAGTGTAAATCACAGAGCAAGGAAGCAAGACATCCATAGTTTCACTATGTTCAATTACGTTCAATGAGTGAGTGAGTTTAAGAAGATTCCTAGAGCTTTATTGGCGTCTTGGGACTATTATATATTTGAAGGTATGAATTTGCACAATTAGAGGGAAATACACTATAAACATTCAAGACTGAATACTGTCACAAGCCACAAAAGTGCATCAATATTTTAAAGTTGTTAAACATGTTGAGATTACAAATGTAGCTATATAATAACTCAGAGTTATAGCGCCCTCGTGTGGCAGAAACATTAAAGTTGCACAAAGGCAGCACGTTGATCATATCCACCGATGTGTAATGGTATTCTTATGTAGATTATTTGATATATATATATATATCTGTGATTTCTTATAATTTTATGCTCAGATCTCAGTGACAGGATTCTAGAACGGCGACAAAATAAACTGTTGCTGCGATTGACGCAATTAAGAAAAAGATGTTAAAAGCTATGCAAGACATTTGAATATGTTTGTATTTTTTTTTCTGACAGCTCAATAATAACCATAACTAAATGAATAATAAATAATTAATATATACTAATTAGCAACTAATTATTTATTCTGAGATATTTGGAGGTACTTACATTCAACACATCTACATCCCATTCTGAGACATCGCACGTACGCTTCACAGGAAGACTCGCTTAAATATTGGTCACCTGTTAAATATCTGGAAAAGAAAGTTTTATGATTTCTTATCTTATGGCATTTTCAGATGAATTAGAATTTTCACATTTTCGGATAAGCAATAAAGTTTCCTAGCATCACAAATAATGTACAACCTCACCTTACTGAGACTCAATGTCAAAAGCAAAAAAAAAAAAAAATAAATTTTGAGTTCATAAACTTGAAAGAATGAAAACAAAAATTGCAACTCACGTGTTATGAGAGCAAGCAATCCAATAGTGAGACATAGGTTGGTCCATATCATGGCAGACCACATCCTGCGATGAATCCCAGATTGTATTTTGTTTGGAGTAAATGTAGTCTACAAACTAAGGAAAAAGTATACACAAAATTAATTTATTCATAGTACACCAAAGTCAACATTCACTCCATTTCATAAACTACACCTGTACAAATCTTCCCAGAAATTTTTGTTGTTGATCAGCACCAAAAGCCAATAAATGAGAAATTGTGTTGGTTCAAAATTAACAAAGAACTTACAGAAAAATACTGAAAAATTTGCAAAATGTTTCTTCAAAATTGTGGCGGGAAAAATGACGGCGTTCTAAATGTTGAAAGTCGTAGTTCAATTTATTTGAATAGCAAAATACATGATAATCTATAGAACCTAGAAATTAAAATGGCCAGTAGTTGTCTAACTTGAAAATGTATGATCCTCCACACATGGAATTCAAACTAAAATATCCATAAAAATACAACATGTTTATTGATTAACAAACTAAAGACTGGCATTAAAGATTAATAAGATCACATGAACAATTGCCATCTTTTAATAACTAAACCTAAAATATTTATGAATACGTAAACATATACAAAAACATAGAGAAACCATCTAAACCTTGTCTGTAAATAGAATTAAAATTTTTGTGAGATTAACTTCATGGATCTTTAAAACAAGACTTATTTTGATTATTGACATTTACTTGCATGTACTACTAATAGAGCAAATATGGTATGCATACAATTTTTAATTTATTGGTCAAATAATATCAAACACATTAAGTACAGAGGGGTAACGCTATGGAATAACTTGCCAACTCATATCGGAAATTCAGCCTCATTAGGCATCTTTAAGAAAACATACAAATTATATCTTAGTGAGAGAATTTCTTGTAAATGGTTCAAGCCTATAGTGCGTAAATTTTAATGTATGTTGCTTCTACAGAAGGTCCAATGAAAATTACTTTATTGTATTTTGGCCTAACCTAAACTGCGTCTTCGAGTGTATAAAAGGAAAGATGGCCGCCAGTTTCCAGTATGCAAATGACACTCACTCAAGCATGAAACATGACGCACTGGTGCAATACCTTGGATTGCAGAGACTTGCTTTAAATACAGTGTTAAACAAAAAAATAAAAATGAATAAATTAAAGCAGATGGCTGCACAGTAACACAGACTTTGTCTAAACAAGGCTATAAATAATATGAGTCCAAAGTGGTTGATAAATGTTTTATTTTCATGTACTTTACTTTATATATAGATTGATATTCTTGTACATTATGTCTCATAGGTATTTATGTATTCATAAATTATATACATTTGTTATGGTCCTTTTTTGACCTGCCAACGATAATGGAATCCATTTTAAACTGGCATCCAGTTTCTATAGAGATGAATGCGTTCAAATATGCATAACTTGAACTTTTTGTAATAAGTTCTCAGATGCAAATGGCCTCTGTGATATTGCTGAAAGGGAGAAAGCCACAAGATTGCTTTTTTTTTTCCCTCTCTTTTGCATCTATGTAACCACGGTAATTGGAACAGTACATTAGATGATGGGGGAGAGTAGGACACTGTTTGAGGGGCAAAGTCCTTTTTTATCTTAATGAGATCTCGGTGGCTATCTATTTATCAATCCAACTTAATACTGTACCAAAATGATTTTTGTACCAAATGAACATACAGATATCCAGGCTATGCACAAATGAACATACAGATATCCAGGCTATTCACAAATGAACAGTACCTGCACAGATAGGAGGTTTATTTCTGTCAATTCACTCCAAAATACTTGCATGATAGAAATGCAAAAAAAATTAAGCTAATACTCACACCACTCATCTAAAATTGAATTATGCTACATTTATAAGTTACAATTAAGAAACTTTCATTTTCAACTTGTCATGATTAAACATTAAATTCATGACACAGAAAATAATTATCATTCATTTAAGTATTCTTAATTTTCAATTCAACTGACACTGCTGAATCAGTGCCAGAAAAATGGAAGGCAATCATTTGCATACTTTGTCATATTTGGCGATGGTTGATTTTCAGTAACGCAACAAAAAAGAAGAGACTCACTTCCTTGACTGTCAAATATGGTTCTTGCACCTGTCTTGTGGGGTCTTCTACAAAATCATGTAAAAACTGTTTAACAGCATCAACATTATTGGCTAGTGGATCCTGAAATTAAAAAAAAAAATACATTTCAAAATAAGTCATCGTCACTGAGACAAATAGTCATATATTTAAATATTCAGAATTGAAGATATCATCACCAAATAAAGAAATCAATATTCAATATCAAAGCAATCAGCCATGCATCTTTTTAAAGAGAAATTGAAAATAACACTTTTCATCAAAAATATTCATTTTAATTTTAGTGAACCACAAATATGAGTGAACCGCCCAAGTTTAATTTGTAGTGAGTAAGATAACCATATAAGTGACAGTTTTAGATAAAGTCGAAAATGAATGTTGACGCACACGGCAGACAGACGAGCAGTAATAGGAAAAGCTCCGGTTTGTTGATTAACAGCGGAGCTAAAAAGCTAAAAATAGATAAATAAAATGGCCATCCAAAGCTCCCTTTACTCTGCATCACGAATACGAAAAACAACAAAGTGACGAACATCATGGTTTGCTGTATGTAGCAAGTTTGAAAAAAACAAATACATCCATACACGACCATGATTCGATTACGGAATTGCAGAAAAGTTTAATTTTAATGCATTTGCGCCCAGAGTATGTCGGGGCGTGAGGCAAATCATAGGTGTGTTTGTTAATTATTAAATTGTCTAGTTAGACTTCAAAATGTTTTCTATAATTAATATTCATTTCGCTGTATTATTTCTGTTCAGCAATAGCTTTGATGTTTAGTTTAGATTATTCGTATTCCTATTATATCATACCGTACATTGTATTTGACCTATGATGTTATTATCGCGATCAGTGATTGGTTTAGAACCGACCTATCACAACTTGACAATTGAGGTCCTCGCGCCTTTGTTATCATTATTATTATTTTTTACATTTTGTTGTTGTTTCAAGCTGATGTCGATGCCGATGTTTCCATTTCAAAGTTCAATAAATGTCAATCCTGACATGAAACGTTTCGACTACGTTCCGACTACGTTTGTTCCGACCTATAGTATACAGTGGCTATACTTCGAACCAAATCACAGCCACAAATGGTTACCATTTAGCCATTTTAAATTGAATTACAAAACAAATGGCTGTGCATATGTAAATGCTTCAGTCCAGGTATACCAAAATACAGGTGCATACAGATGCACAAAGGTCAATCAATAAGTTCCTGCTTTTAATTAGTTTGAAAAATTTAATGGAGCACATAATGAACAGGACATTGTGGAAAATGACAATGGTTGTGAACGAGCCTGTAGTTTGACATACTTTAATCAAATTTCACACAACACAACTTTCTGAAAGTGAATTGTTTAGTAGAAAAGAACTGAAAATGAAATTAGTAACACTGTGGTTACTACAAGTTTGTTGTTGATAAGTAGATTTCTTACACACAGGGTAAATAAACCATTGTCAAATTTTGAACACCTAGTAAATACACCGTAAAAAATACATACTAATATTCAAAATACACAGTAAATAAAATACAATTATATTCAGAGCTTACCTTTTGCTCGGTTCGAAGAAAGTTAAGAAAATCTGACAAAGAAACAATTTTATCCCTGGAAAAAAACACAGAATAGATCTAATTGTGTCAGCTATTCATATCCGTGTCAGTCAATGTCAATGACTTAGTCCATGTTAACAATTACCATCCTTCAAATCAAAGTAAATCTTTCTTAAGAAATAATAAGATAATATGCAAATTAGTTAATCAATATGCATGGCAATGGCTTTAAATCTTGTCTGCACATTACCACAAGGTACCTATTATTCAAATTTGATCAAAATCTGCTGAGAATTTTTTGAGATTTTGCTTACACAGAATGAAATGAGATAATTAATATGCAAATTATTTACTTAATACTAGTATGCATGGTCATGGCCCAAAAACTAATGTCTGCACATTACCCCCAAGGTACTAAATGTGCTAAATTTTATCAAAATCTGTGCAGAATTTTCTGAGATTTCACTTACACAGACACACATAATTTATTACCTTTCTAAAAATAAAACTTGCATAATTATTTCCATATTTTGTAAATTGATGTATATTTGGTCCAAAATTAACAAGACATTATAGAAAAACTATTCACATAAGATGAATGCAGGGAAAGCATGCATGAGATATAGGCATAAATGGACACACAAATGCACAGGTCATATCAACGTGTATAATGGCCGACAGTCAACCATGAATGATCGATTGGGAGATGGTGCACCTGTATCAGGTCTTAATGTCAAATGTGAACGAAATAGTTCTTGCTTACACACGCAAATGACCGCATCTATGAGTTGCTGTTCTAAATCTTGTTCAATCAGGAACCAATAAAACAACAAATGTTTTGACTGTACGTGTCATACACAATAACTTGTATAAATTTAATGTACATTTGAGTTATTCTCATTTTAGTTGACTTTCTTGTTTTTTATTTCAAGAAATATTACCTACACCAACAATTTGTCTTTCTAGAATCAACTTACCCATCTGAAAAAAAATCCACGAATCTATCAGCAATCTGCAAAAAAAAGAAAATATTAAAAAATTAAATGCGAGAGGGCTGAAAACTGAATGTTTTTTTGAATGTTTTTTGGTTGTCAATCGTTCAAATAGAATGAGCACAGTTTTTACGGTATATGCAAAATCTTACTTACAGTCAACTAAAAGTTTCAAACTTCAAATAATAGAAAATAAACTTACCTCATAATTTGTGCATGTAATGCGCCAAAATGATTGATATTATACATGTATTATTAAATAATAAGTACTAAAGACGGGTTAAAATTTCACATTTCTTAAAATTTGTATGTCAAAAAGAGGTTTTTTAGAGAACAAAAAATATATAACTTACTAAATCGCTAAATTTCCTCTGCTATCAATGTTTTACAATTTTAATGATGAAAAGGCTTTAAGGTAGATCCCAGAAATCTGCATTCTTTACAATTAACTGCTAAAAAATACCTGACATTTTTCAAGAATCCAGGCAACATAAAACTATCTAATCAAATGACTAAAAAAACATTTTTTTTCAGTGAACTTACCTCAGGTTGATGTACAAGTTCATGGTAGAATGCTGCAAATGACTCAAAACCAATCTCTCCTCTCTTTCTTGTATCAACGTCCTATGAAAATAAAACAGACACAAAATATTTAAAATAATGACGATTGGTCAGCCCTATTTGGATGATTCAAACTAACAGCTGATGTAGAAAATGCAACTTGGGTTTGTTATGCGGCGGGCGGAAAAAATATGAAGATAAAAATAAGTTTTGTTAGCAATTTTTTGCACTTACAAGTTGGCGGGCGCAAGAAATTACGCTGAAATAAATTTTATTTTTATTTCATTTTCGGCTCTTTTTCATTCGGCGGGTTCACAAAACAAGGGATAATAAAAGTCTGGCCCAAGTTAGGTTTTAGTATGATGTGAATACAAAAATGGCTGCCAGTCGTCCATGTTGAATCCCATCACAAAACAAGTACAGGAATGAGCATACTAAATAAAATTCTACTATTTGGCCTGGTTGGACTGTATCATTGGATGAAGATGAAATGAAATCAGCTCAGTGAAGTCTGTAGAGTAGTTATGACCATAATGGCCACGAGTCAGCCATATTTATTCAGTTCATGTATTGTCTTAACAACAGAATCATTAAATATGCATAGACCTTATCAATAGTTAGTTTGTTTATTTTTAGCACTGAGGTAGAAAAAGCCTACATTCCATTTGATAGTGAGACAATATTTATGTCAGAGAAATATGGTTTTCCATGCTCACACGTGTAACATTTAGCACACAAAAGAGACCCAAAATAATTTTCCAAGAATACTCACCTTAAATAATTCCCTCAACTTAGTAGTACTAATTTTACAGTTTGCTCGTGGCAGAAATGATTTAAGATCTTTGACAGTTACTCTATGAGAACAAGCATAACATAGCAAAATAATAAGTACCTTGTCCATAGTAGTTATTTTAATACCACTACACATTACAGAACATACTATGGAAATACTATTTTCCACAAATTAGATACATAATAGGAAACTTGAAATTTTACAAACAAATTTTCTCAAACACTGGATTGCATAAAGGACATTCTAATAGATCTACTGTAAAATACTTTATTTTCGCGTGGAATTTATTTTCGCTGAAGAGATGATTCCGTGAAAATAAAATCCAGCGAATATACTTTTTTTCCTATATTTCACATTAAACTCATCAAAAATCAGTGAAAATAAATTTCATACAAAACGCCCAAAATGCCTTTTCAACGAAAATTAATTCCAACGGAAATAAAGTATTCATAGCAGTACATGGTGTAAAGGGAAAAACAGTCTGGGGGCGAACACACTTTTATCTTTCACAACAGAAATTTGTACGCATATCAAAAGAGTTTGAGACAAATTCATGTTTTACTCTATTGAGCATGTTACTGCACGTACCGGCATATGCAATTTATTATAAGAGAGAACCTCTCTTAATGTATAATGAAAAACTATTATCACCATGGAAACTGACTAAATTATATGTCAATTTTTTTAAAATGTTTTTATAATATTAGTACGGTATTCATGTCAATAATTACCGGCCTATGACTTTTTCATTTCATGTTACCAAATCAAATTTGATATTTGATGAAATAATCCCTCAACAGAAAAAAAAGTGTAAAAATGCTAATTTTTGAACATTTTCTATGACATTTGCGGCTCTTGCATCTCAAAAAATTATCCGGTGACCCTAAGTTATGTTTTCATTTTTGGTAACCTGTTACTATCTATGGCTTTTTGAAATTAAAATATGCTTACAGAAATTCAGAAACAGCAACAAGTTGCATAACATTAAGTCAGAGCTAACCAAAAATAGATAACTCATAATAAAGAAACATGATGACAGTGATATGTGATGAAGATCACATCATAAGCGAATTCTCATTTGAAAACAACCTTTTTCATGCGAATTAATTAAAGTTGTTCCAACCAATAGCATCACAGAACACAGTGTGTGCTTGGAAATGTTCGACTGCATAAACAGAAATGAGTGAAATTGTCATAAATTGTCATGGTAACATACCCCCCCCCCCCTCCCTTCTGATAACTAAACAAATCTTTCACTCATCTGTCACTTTGCTTATCAGATTTTGTCATGAATAAACGCCTGTATCACATGTTTACTGTATAACATATATACATATAGGAAGGAATCAGTGTTCACTACGCTACAAGATCAATATACCCCCCCAATAATGTAAGCACAGGTAAATTCCAGAAAAATAAAATAGTTTCTGGTTGATCTGTTTTCTAAAATCAATTTGTGCATTTTTTTTTTTATTAAAATAAGACTTCAGTTTTATTTTTTTGCTCAAAAATTCTGACAAAAAGTAAGGCCATGACATGCACATCTCATTGATGCATGCTATATCCAGAACAATAATATTCTCCGAGCCTAATAGTGACCACCCATAAAAAATATTGGCCAGTCCCTTACATAAGCAACTATATTATGTGTCGACATCACATCTTCTTTCGTACTAATTTTTTGTCACTAATTACTGAAGAATGACAAACATGATACAATATGCAGAGTAATCAATATCGAGCAATAAATATCAGGATACATTTAAAACACATTTACACTTGTACACCAGGGTATTGAAACATGAACAAAACGAAATGAACACATTAGCAAGGAAATTGACACAGTGTAGCGATTGTACTATGTCATCAATCACGCTGAATCGTGAATGGTGTCGTCTCAAGGAGAGAGATATACTAAAAAGGTTATGCCGCTAATGACAATCAGTTTCCATTCACGATCGACTGTACGACTCAGATTGATTCAATGGTTTCTCTATCACATCGTCTCACATTCTGCTTCAACAAAGAACACAACAATATGAAATCATAAATTATCAAGAATTCATAATCATATGACAATTTTGATTTGTAATTTTGGGCATGTTAGTTCAATAGAACATTTTAGAGTGATTTATTTGCATATCACATTTTCTCAGCTGGAGACATTATACACACTTTCGTTCTGCATCAGGAAATAAACTACATTAGAAAATCAACTGATTCAGATTGCGAAGAATACAGGGATTATATTAAAGATGATGATGCAGGTTCGGAGGGGTCACTTATATTTCACAATCAACATGGCATTGACTTTATACTTGTTATATATTTTTGGTTAGCTCTGACTTTACATAAATGTAAATGTTATGCAACTTGTTGCTCTTTCTGAATTTCTGTGAGCATATTTTTATTTTCCTTGAAAATGTGCGATTTTGCATTTTTTAGTAGCAGCAGCCTGTCGGCTGAGATAGCTCCACTGTTAGCAATGCACATTTCAATTAAAGAACTGCAGATATCATTAGAAAATGAACAATATGTATAGTATCAAAGCAATCGGACTTGCTGTTTTAGAAAATTAGAGAATTGAAGACATCAACATGAAATGAACAAATCTAAGAGAGACCTACCCAAGGTACATATACACCAAGTATTAAAGCATTCAGGCTTGTAGTTTTTCAAGAAGAAGTCGAAAAAGTAAAACATTGACACAGACGACGACGGACAATCACTCATATGATAAGCTCCGATAGTTATCAACAGTTTAGCAAACTAGTAAAAAACATTTCCAACTTTTATTCCGTGTAGCTGAGTTATCATACATTTAGGGTGACCAAGAGATGAAATTAATGAAAAAATTACCATTAGTCTTTATTCATGTCAGGAATATTTCAGTTTTGTCTATTTCCGCCCCAAACCTGAGATGCTATGTAATTGCTGTGATATACGAGAAGCATTTGTGAATGTATTGGACTAATCACTTGGTTTGCTATTAAAGCTGTGCACAAAAGAGTTTTGGCCTTGCTCATTTTTTTAAAATCATGATGAAAATCCTTACTTTTTTTACAGTAGTTGCTTGGAAATATGTTGAACATTCAATATTCAATCCAGTGCAAATATACAAAACACAACAGGTCTTTAGAATACAATATGAGATTCTCCATTATCAACCCCATAATGTGTGAGTAGTTTTAAAATGTGAAAAAATAGATTAAAAAAAATGTCTACAAGAATGATTATCAGACATGACATTTAAAAATGTGTCTGTCACAGGATTATTTTAAATTTTAGAAAAAAAGTTCTAAAATATAAATAAAAAAAAATATATGCATGTGTACCAATTTTGGAAAATAAATTGACCAGAATGCCAGAATGTGTGAACTTACTTTTACAAACAGATTTTTACATATTGCACACATTAGACATTTGAATCATAATTAGTTAATTACCATTAAAGAGTATTAAATGTAGACATTAAAGTACACAAACACTATGCATGTACCAAATTTTAACTTATTTTAAAATAAAGGACAAAATAAGGTAAAAATAGTATGCAAAATTATCTCATTAGTATGCATTAATTTGCACCAAAATCTACTAAGGTTATGAGTTCAACACAAAGTATAATTCCAATCCTTTTTAGTGGTTATTGATATTGGTGGAACATGATTTGATACATGCATCTATCCATCCACACATCAGTATAACATTAGCCTTCTTTTGTGCTCTGCACACAAGAGCAAAAAATAGTAATTCTCACATATTTAACAAAAATCTGCAATTGTCATGTATACCTTTGTATATAGCAAACATTTTTAAAATTATTAACAGACTTTCATGCAAACTATACTAAGATGACAGCATTGTTGACTGTTTTTCGATTTCTTAGATAGAGCCTCAGAATTCAATGAAGCAGAGATAAAAATAAGGAAATGAACACTCAGACCACACTTGATACTTACGAGTTGGATTTATTTCTGTCCATTGAATAAAACTCTTTCCATAACCACCTATAAAAAGTTGAAACTTTCACAGTTAATGGATCTTGTGATGAGTGACTTTCGTAGTAACTGGTCGTCATGCTCCCTCAATCGATTTACAGTTGTAAAAAATGAACAATGAAAACATGCTAGTATTTCACGCTATTCTGATATAAGATACTGTCCTTACAAACACATTGTTTTTTACTGTATTTGCTCTATTACAAGCGCATCTCTAATAAAAATGCACACAGACCAAAACATGCATCTTGAATCTATTGTGTACTGCATAACCATTTATTTTCACTGACATTTATTTTCACTATTTTGATGTTTTGAGCGTACCGTATTCACTGTGTTTTAATTTCACAAATTTGTTTAGGAAACAATGAGTTTTATTGTTACTTTACATATTCACATAGATTTAATTTTATAGGATTTTACTCATCAGCGTAAATATCGAAATTAAAACCAAGTGAATAATTAATGCATTTACAGTACTACATGTATATCATACAAATACATGTAGACAAAACTCTGTAATATACATTTAAGCACATGCAATAAAGCAAATACAGTACGGGCCATGAGGGACACATTTCACTACTGAAGTGCTTAAATTTAACTCTCAACCAATCAAATTTCATAGAACATACATGTATAGTTTCATGTTACCAAAGGAACTGTTCCAAAGTAAATTGTAATAACAAATTCTTTTATAACAAATAGTTGACTTCAAGTAATGGTTAACCATTGGTCCAATAAATATAATATCACTCTTTCTAATTTCAAATTTGCACAGAAGTTTAACAAGTAATTTGTTAAAAATAATGTGCGCGTGTCTAGATCTCATCTCGTACTAGTCGCTGTGCTGCATACATGTATGTCATACAAATTTTATGCTAACAAAACTTTTCATGAATGTCGTTTGCAATTTACTGGATTCATATTAAAATGATACAGCTCATAACTGTGACAATTTAAGAATAAAAAAAAAACATAAAACCCACCTTTCTACCATGAGAAGATGACACGAATTGAGAGTATCTTTCACAAGCCAAGCGAGACCTTTCATCCACATATCACAAGCATCGGGAGTTATCGCTGCAATAAAATAACATTTGTTCAATTAGAAGCACCTTGTAGTAATGTGCAGACAAGATTTAAAGCCATTGCCATGCATATTGATTAACTAATTTGCATATTATCTTATCATTTCAATCTTCTCCAAAGGTGCATTATTTTGGACCATTATCCTATCATTGATATATCAGTTGCAGAAAGGAAACAAACAAACCATGACAAATACATTTGTGTCTGGCATCTGACTACGCATGAACGGCCGCATGAACGGCCGCATATTATGCATTATATATAATCAATGTTCAGACAGGTATAATTACATGAGTGTCTGGATAGAATCACTTCTAGAAAGTTATTAAATGTGTTGATTCAATCTCTGATTGTATCACATGGCTATGGTGTAACACTCACAGCTGTGACATCATATGTGATATGAAATGCTCAACGCGACGATATAATTAAATTATGTCATAATTTTGTAGTTGTTCAAAAAATGTAGAGAGAAAAACAATTCGCGCAGTAGTACAATATTATCACAGCGATAATTTCAACAGTCTCAGGCAGTTCTAATCTCTAGTGTATATACTCTAATTTTGTGTACATTTCTTTTGCAAGAAATCTGAAAATATTTATAGTTTTTAATATATTTTGAATCAGTAATTCGTTAATGAAAACTATTTGATGTTTGAAAGTAATCTCCACATCAAATACTTGCAGTTTCCTAAAGAGCATGCATTGTGCTTTCCGACACTGACACTAGCTAGGTTTGGTTGCTATTTTTCAGGCTTATTCCTACTTTTCACGCTCATCCTTTTTCTCGTGATCAGTTTTGTTACTTTCCATTAGCATTAAAATTATGTTTAGAAATAAGTTTTGATACTTTCCATTAGCATTAAAATTATGTTTAGAAATAAGTTTTGATTGATGCGCACAAAATGGAATCACTTTCAAACGCTCACAAAGGATAAACGCTCACTTCTCTATCTTAACCATCAATGATTCTGTTCCTGTGATTGGTCAGATGGTTTTCAGCCACCATTATGAATTTTAAAAATTTAGTAATTTCCAGTAATTCACATCCATGAGTACCGGTAACATAAAATGAGTGTAGTTTGACTCCATTAAAAACACAAAGTGACCAAATCTGAATTGAATTGACGGCCGGTGAAGGGTTGGGGGAAGCCAAGGTGTGTAATTGCGAGACCCTCTAAAAAGTAATGTCATAAATCTAAAAGATGAACATGCAGTGAAATAAAATGAGGGAAGATATCTTCATTTGTAAGTCTTCATCTTTCAATAAATCACTCTTCCAATGTTCATAATATTCTTTTTTTCACCAGCAAAATTCAGAAGCAATGTTTTTTACCTTTTTGTTTATTATGGTTTGTTAATTTTGGATCAAATGAACATAATCTCCCAATGAATACCAGTTTTTATCCAAATTTTTTAATGAACATGGAAAATAATGGAAGGTGACAAAAGTCGACTTGGCCTAAAAACTGTACTATATTATTATTACTACATGTATATCATAGTATTATATGCTATACAATATGCAAGTCATCATGGGAGGGAGATTTCTCGCAATTACGGTAATTCTGTAAATTGTATAAATTCTACTGATATCACTTTCAGTTGTAATCGTCAGAATCATTCATTTTAGATTAGAAATTCATGATTCACTGCTGTGCCTACATGTAATACACAACTCAACAAGTCAACAAACAGAAAGGGGTTGGTATTATAATGAAGTCTTTAAAACTTGCAGGCAGATACCTATCGCTATGGTCAGAGAAAACACAAGGTTTCATTGGTGTTACTGAATCAATCATCATGAGGTCACATGACTATATATGGTCGTTAATTATGTTTGATCAGATCTAGTGTGCAATGTCTTTAATCTGCAATAATGCTCCTGATATGACTGAAAACAGACATTACAGATGGACACAGGTAACCTTTATATCTCCTGACTGCACTTCGTGCTGGGGGGGATAGCAATCAATTAGGATTCTTCAGAAAACCTGACATGTCATATTCAGTATAACACGTCAAAATATACAACTAACCATCTATCTATCTATTTATGCTACTCAGGCCATTCCATTCTGACACAGAATGGGTAAATTATATGTACAGTATTGCAAATAAGAGAAAAGCTTTTCAACAAAATCAAATTTCATCTGAAGAGAAGCAGACTTGTTTGCTAGCATCAGCAAATAATACAACTGCATGTCAAAGCATGAACTCACACCAACATATACATATAAACATTAATAACCACTGGAATAGCATTATATGTTATGTATCCTGCAAACAATGCATATCCAATCACATCTGTATTTTATGTCTAAACTTTAGGCCCAGAAAAACAAGAGCAAGTTGTTTACTACAATTGATGTGATTGGACATTTTAAAAATTTAAAAATAGTCAATAAAATAGTGTTTTTATATTATTTATCATAAAAAAAACGTGATAAAAGCTATAGAGCGCCCATTTTTAGCACACACACAAAGGATCTAAATTAAGTTATAATTAAAAAGTTCAGAAAAAGGTACATCACTGTATTCCTTACTAAAGTTGCATGTTTGACATTGTACTATCAAAGGCAAAAAAAAAATTATCAGAAATACACATTTTTTATTTGTCATTATACACACACTTATATTTATATAAAAATGAATAAACAGAAATAAAAAAAATTCAATATTGTATAATTACAAATAGAATTCCCATTGTATTATTGGGTATATTTTGTATGTAGTATGTGTTACTGTATCTATCAGATGAAACAATTACGGTATTCGCAAGACATCCAAGGACAGGAGATGAACACAACCGATCATTTTTGTAGATTTGATTTTTGAGTTTTCAGTATCTTAGGGTGGCATCAAATCCATTCACAAGCATGACTTTCTGACTACTGATTCAAATATGATCTTCTAAATAAATCAATATTTCATTTGAACCATTCCCCATAGTTTAGTTTGTGATGAAAAGCAGTATTCCAGTAACCGTGCATTTTAGGTTCCTTCCTTCTAAATTTATATGACATTTGTTGCCACTGCATCTAAAAAAACTTCATCCTTCTCAGCTAGTTGTGTTTTTTTTTTTTTTTTTTAACAAAGTCCGGAAATGAATTGGGCTCGTCAACTTGTACCAATAAATGGCTCCGAAAAACTTATGCATTCCTTGATTAAATTCATGTAGTAATGCAATATATTCCTTGACTGTGCAGAGTCAGAATGAAATCTATCTGCAGAGCTCACAATACACACCCACCAACCTACCAATTTATCCAACCACAGTCGGGATATGTAATCTATAACACCCCTTCGGCTCTTCCCAGCAAGAGGTGTTAATGTGATATTCAATAACATGCGTTATTTTGATGTTATTCTTGGCACGCTAAACTGAGAGCAGATATGCACAATTGAGGCAAGTCTATATATACACATGTACTCTCTAGTACTACCTGGTATCAATGTCGTCAAGTTACCCAAGATCCATCAGGATATATCTTGAGAACTCTTCACTTTGATGCTAATAAGGTTCATGTTTTTGTAATACTAGAGTGCGCATGAGGACAAAACTTTATAAAAGCAACTCTGACCAATTACTGTAAAATACTTTATTTTAGCTGGAATTAATTTTCACTGAAAAAGCTTATTGGATGTTTTGTAATAAATTCAGTTACACTGATTTTTAACAAGTTGAATTTAAAATATAGGAAAAAGGTATATTCGCTGGATTTTATTTTCACTGAATCATTCCTTCAGCAAAATAAATTCCAAGAGAAAATAAAGTATCAATGCTTCAAAATTTTGCTACTTTCTTGCAACTAAAGTTCTATTCTTAAGTTAAGTTTTCATTATGCTCAACATAAAAAAAGAGGTTTTATACTTACCTGCACATGATAGAATTTTTAATCTGAATTCATTCCCATACATTATTACAAAACACATAGCAGAATCTATTTTACGTGCGTCATCCGGCCACCTTTCAAAATCACGAGAGTTCTTCCCGGGTCGTATTTCTTTAATTTCTCTGATGTCAGCTGAAACAGGAAAAATCAAAATCTAAATTAAATTTCGAAATAGTAATCAAAATGGCAGAAAGATATCTAGAATGCTACTGATCCCATAACCAATGAAACGACCACAACTGCGCATATAATGAATTAGATTAATAAAGTCTACATACATGTATCAAAGTTCTTCCCAGGAGAACTCTGGTTAATTTGCACATGAAAGAAATGGTAATTGTTTTTTCTTCTTCTTGTTAATTTATTTTTTTGGTTCCAATAAAACCACTCATCTTGGCTGTATGTACATGCATGTGTGAGCAGGAGAATGGATGTACACGGTATGTACATACAAAGTACAGAATTGAACCATACCTCCCCTCTTTACTAAACCTAAGCTTCACAAACTTGACTTAAATTTGAATAAATATTAATATACTTTCTGAAAATAGTGAGGGTCGTCACAATGTAGGTCCTGTCCGTACAAGTCGGTGTAAAGTTAAATTAAAGTCATCACAACGTTGTTACCACACGTGCATACACACATACAGACGGGCCAACTGCAAAGACTCCCATTGTGTGATTCGTACACAAGAGTAAAAAATCTGTCAAATTTCTGACTGAAAGCTAGATCTGGAATGGTTGATCTTGATGCATTTTAAAAATTCAAATTTATCTCTCTCTCTCAAGAAAATATAGCACTCAGTATATATAATTAGACGATGTTTTCAAATGTAAATTCACTTATCAAACAAATTGTCATATATTAGCCATACAGTGATGATTAGTTGTCTGCTTTATAAAAATTGCTTTAATAATTGTACATTGTATACAGTTAAGGTGAGAAGTTCGTCACCTGCGCACGCGCGGGAATTGAATCCCAACAGACGATAACAACACACGCTAAAAATGCAAAGGCTCATGGGTAGAGGCTTGTTTGTAAACAATAACACGCTATGGCCATCTGACGCATGCGCAGGTGACGACTCCCCCGCTTTAAAATACTAGGTGAGAATTAGGGTCAAGGTTGCTATGAAACCATTTTCTTCAACATCCCACTTGCCAACAGCCTGGTGTTATACACTATGTAGTGCTCTTCATCTTTTTAACTTGTCTAAGCCATTATATATCCTGGCTTTTAAGGCCCCCATTTTTAAGATTAAAGGGGAGCAGAGGTCTGGCCTTTGACACTCTGTACATGACATTTGAGATCTATAAATAAATTCTGTCGATAAAAACAACTTGTATGTGCTGCGAAATGTCCTAAATATGGGGTATAAAATGGGCTGTGAAGCAGACGACAAACGTCCGCTTTGCCTGGCGTTATTTCGCTTCTAGAGGGCCAGTCAGTGAAGTCATCAGTGAACACCGATAATTGAACTATTCATACTAGTACGTCAATCTCATAGAAGTGCTACTATGGAAACCCTTGTTGACTGACAATTTAAAAGTTGAAACATGGTGAGGTGTTGTGCGTATAAATGCCATAACGATTCATATTAAGTTTGTCGAAATCCCAAATGAAAAATCACGTCGTTGGTTGCGAGAAATCTACAGAAGAACTAACCTGAAAGTGAAGACACGTACAGCGTTCTAGCTATAGTGAACAGTGAGCCAATTAATATTGTACGAATTAAAACTAAATTAGAAATACGCTAACGTCACTTGAACTACAGTATTCATTTCTCCAACTTCACACTTTTTACTCGATCGCACGGTATTTTCCGACCGGAAAACGGCCACATTTTTATCGTTCGCGAGCGCAACTTCATCTGCGTCCAATATTAGAGCCGATACAATATTGTAAACAATCGCCATATCGCTATTGTATACACTCCCTTTTTATTCTGGTTTGCACAGAATAGCCGTCAAAAATTCAAATATATTTAGTTTTTAACTGTCTATAATTATATGCACTAAATTTGACCCTTTGACCTAGATTTGATTGGGATGGAATATTTTCTTTCAAACAATATTCTGAGGTTACTTACTGACCACAAAATGTTTCAACGCAATTACAGTATTCTTGTCCGATTTACAAAGTACATCGGCGTAATTTCTGGGTTTCCTTTTCTAATTGTTGATTCTTCACGATGTGTTTGTATAATTATGTTTGTAGTCACGGTCTTACGATAATGATTTCGATTATTTGGAATGCTTATCGACCGTGTCCCGGTAATAATTTGTTTGGAATGTCGATCGTAGCTTGTTTCTCCATGCTGAGTTTAGGATGCGTCAGTGTCGACGTCTGTCATTCAAGCCGAGACCTTGAAATGAAAAAAAAAAAAAAAAAATTCGAAGAGCATCGGGTAATATATTAATAACCATTCCCATCAATTGCTAGCTTTAGGGGAGAGTAGGAAATCAAACGGCCACAGGTCGCCCGCCTTTTATGCATAGATTTCATGACGCTGTCTGACCGCGGTCGTGTACGGTTAGGCTCGCACATCAATTCACACTTATTGTCAAGACCATGAATGAACTAAAAGGACTGAGAAATTAAAAGGGTTATATTGCCACAAAGTTCAAAAAAAAAATTAAATTTGGCTGCGCCAAAAGCTTGCAAACTAGTGTATATAAATAGTTGACAGAAGACTGAGTGGTCAACGACATCATTTTGTGGCGCAATTGAACTTCCAGTACTTCTTTGCATAACTTACTGTGCGGCGATGCTGACATCAAGTGCGTGTTGACCGAAGTTTGACCTCCTAGTCACGCACTGGACAGGCGCGTTACCTTAGCGACCTTTTTCTTTCATGCTCCGCGCGTCAATCTAGTAAAATTGTTATTCGTTCTGGCGGTGCTGTAATTACGCAAACTTGTATATTTTAAGATCGTTTACTTAGTGCGCTGCTTTTCTAATTACGCAAATGTGTTTATAATATTGTACCGGCTCTAAAAATTTCAACATTGTGATATATCGCTTTCATAATAATTACGCAAACTCAGTTATTTAATATTGGACACAGAATGTTACAAAGTGGTATAGATTTGAAGAGTAGTTCGGAATTTAAAAATAGTTAATACCCGTTGTATCCCCAAACTGTACCACTCCTGTGCCAGTGACCAGTGTTTGGGCGACCTGTCGGTGTTTTCAATGAGCCAGCGAGAGAAACGATAACGATAAAAATGCGGTTGTTTTCCGGTCGGAAAATGAACGATAACCGGTCGATTGAAAAGTGGGAAGTTGGGCGAAATGAGTACTGTAGCTCAAGTGACGTTAGCGTATTTCTAATTTACTTTTAACTCGTACAATGTTTATTCACTCACTGTTCACTATAGCTAGAACGCTGTCCGTGTCTTCACTTTCAGGTTAGTTTTTCTGCCGATTTTTCGAAACCAACAACAGGATTTTTTATTTGGGATTTTGAGAAACTTAACACGAATCGATGTGGTATTCATACGCACAACACCTCACAATGTTTCAACTTTTAAATTGTCAGTTAACAAGGGTTTTCATAGTAGGGCTTCTATGAGATTGACGTACTAGAATGAATAGGTTCAATTATCGGTGTTCACTGATGACATCATTGAACTGGCCCTCTAGAGGCGAAATTACGCTAGGCAAAGCACACGTTTGTCGTCTGCTTCACAGCCCGTTTTATACCCCATATTTAGGACATTTCGCAGCACATACAAGATGTTTTTATCGACAGAATTTATTCATAGATCTCAGATTTTATGTACAGTGTCAAAAGCCACACCTCTGCTCCCCTTTAAATATGAAGTAAAAAATATGCTTTGAAGATTTAAAATTTTACTAGAAAGCAAAGGACAATATTCCACAACATTGGGTTTATCTTGCCAGGCCACAACACACAACTCTTTAATGAGAAATGTCCATTAGTGCAGTATTATACAGAATTATTATTGCAGCTTAATACACCTACAAATGCATCTTTCAATCTTTTTACAGAAGAGCTCCGTCACCAGAAAACGCTGTTCGTAGGATTGGTGTCTTGTACATATATACGGTAATCATAGCTTATATACTATTTGAAAAATGTACTAATTAATAATAAGTAGTGTGAACCAATAACTAGGTAACATTATACATCAATGCACTAATAGTTTTTTTAATTTCAAATTATTAATATTATTATTATTAAATTCTCAGAGCAAATACTCAGAGTATACATTCTACATATATGTAATGTTTAAATATTTGTCTAATTGGTGAACGATTCTACGATTCTACGATTCTAGTGAGACTAGTTTCTTAAAAGGAAAACTCATTTCCTTTAAAAATGGGTTATTATTAATTATTATTCACAAGAGCAAATTAATATGCATGAATGTATCCCTAATATTTAAATACTGACGTCATTTAAACCAGAAAAGTTACGATACTGTCAGAAGCCAGTGGAGTATGCCTAAAATGCTAGTTAGTAGGCAAATGAGCTTATTAAGATGCATAGAACTGTGGAAAAGGGTAGACTTCAAATTTTGTGGGGTCCACCATTAACAAAAACAAGTACTTGACTCCATATACTATACATATACATGTCGTATTGTAAAAACCTGTAGACAGGTACTTGGCAATCTGCCAGCTCCTGAAGAAAACCTTGAATACCTATATATGTTGCATGTTCGTATACATGTTGTATTTTTTTTTCCTAACAACATTTATTCAATTTACATTGACAAAGTAAAACTAAATCTCATTTTAGTTTAGGCACACACTACATCAATGCTTTGAATGCCAAAATCTTTCCAGCTGGAATAGAAAAAATTTGAGAATCTAACTATTATATCTTTGCAGATTTTGCTCAAAAAGATTTGCCAGTATCTACAGTTCTAGATCAATTTTTTTTACAAAAAAATGTAAATATTTTGTGAAAGGATACTCAAAAGGTTTCAACCATGGAGTGAATGCAACATTCCTGAATATTATACTACACTATTTATTAATTACAGCTCTACTTATTAATATAACACTTATTGCCGATAAATGCTATCATGTTACGACATGGAAAAAATGACGAACTGAAAGTAAACCTGGATTGTGACAGCCTTCAATCAACTGCTAGTGC